TAAACACAATGTCTGGTATTGAATGAAAAATTATGAGATGAGAATAATCATGAAAATGTGGCATATAATCAAGAATCAGATCCCAAAAGATAAAGAGAAATGGATCTTTAAAAAAAACAACCAAACAGGCATTCTAGAGTTGAAAAACACAATATCATAAATTAAGAATTTAATGACTGACACTCACTGGAGTATTTGCAGCTAAAATGAATAAATAAATAGGCACCTCTATGGAGTGATTTCCAAGACATACTGATAAGTGAAAAAAGCAAAACATAAAAGAGAATTTATATTGCCCCAAAACCCACAATTCCAGTTTCACCATGAGAAAAACATCAGACTAATCCAAACGGAGAGACAGTCTACCAAATACCTGACTGGCACTCCTCAAAACTATCATGATCATCGAAAACAAGAAAATGTAATATGGCCAGAGGACCCTGGTACAGAAATCATTAGAGGAAAAACTGGTGAACGTCTAATAAGGTCTATAGTTAAGTAATACTGTTCCAGTGTTAACATAAGCAGAGTACAGGAAACAGCTCTATTGATCTGAGTACATTTACCGATCACAAGAAACTGGGATGTGCATTTGATTATAGGCAGAAAGTGAGGTGGGCAGGGGGAAAGAAGATAAAAGAAAGCAAAGCCTACAGCATGCTCAGAGTGGGACATTTAAAGGAGACCCTTTCCATACAGACTTTTGACCCTCCTACCCCTGCCAAAGAGTAAAATTCTAGAGTAAAGACAAACTAAAGTTGCCGCTATCTCACCCTCCAAAGAGGAGTGTGGGGAGCCATGCCTTGGAGCCGAACAAAACGGGGCGGTGGGGGGATGGGGTGCAGGACAGGATGAAAGAAATTCTTTAAGAGGCTGTAAATTTGGGCAGGCACCTCCTGAAAATCTGTTCCAAGAAATCTCTCATGCAATTAATTTAGTTTAAGGGGGTCCTAAACAAGCTGTACACTTAGGCCTTATCAGAAGCAAACTCAAATGCTCTTTCGAAGACTACAGCTTCAGGCCAAGGCTGAAAATCCCCACAAATAATTTTCCAAGGCAATGAAAAGCTACTCGAACATAACAAGCACAAAAGGAAAGAAGGAAACATAAAAAACACCACAAAAACAATAGCTAGCAGAGAAAGGTCTATAAAGTCCTCAAATACTGGAATTATCAGTGACAGATTATAAATCAACATGCTTACTGTTCTTAAAGGAATAAAGAGGATACCTACACCATGAAAAAAGATAATAAGAGGATATGATTCACAAATCTATACTAGTACATTTGAAAATTTAGACAAAATGGACAAACTTCTAGGAAAATGTAAGTTATCAAAATTGACTTAAAGAAAAATACATAACCTGGACAGACCTATAACCACCAAATAAATTGAATCCACAGTCAATGGACTGGATACAAAACAAATGTATCCAATGTTGGATACAAAACAACAAAATTAATTCTCTCTCTCTCTTTTCAGATCCAGATGGCTTCCATGGTCAGTTCTACCAATCATTCTAGGAAGAAATATTCCAATCTTATATAATACACTTCTAGAACATTAAAAGAGAGAGAAAATACATGAGAAGCAACACTTCCTGACTCATACTATGAAGCCAACATAACCTTGATAGCAAAATCTCATGAGGACGCTACAAGAAAGGAAATTTACAAGTTAACTTCTCCCATAAATATGAATGAAAAAATCCTACATAAATTATTAATAAACTAAATTCAAAAACATAAGGATACTTCATCACAACCAAGTTGAGTTTCTCCCAGAAATGCCAGGTTGTTTTAACTGTAAAATATACTAATGAAGGGATGGAAATAAGACCATATATATGTACACACCTGTATCTGAAAAAACAAACACTTGAACGATAAGCAAAAAACTAATAAAAGTGGCTACCAAAGGTTAAAAAGAGGCTTTTGAAACGTGAACATAATACTGATTTTTAAATTTAATTTAATAAGTATATCAGTTAATGTAATTCATCACATTAATAAAAGAGTAAAATCACACGAACATGCAACAGATGCAGAAAAAGCATTTGATAAAATTCAATATCCATTCAATATTAAGAAAAACTCTTAAACTGGGACTAGAAGGGAACTTTCTTAATCTAATTAAATATATCTGTGGGAAAAAAACCCACTAGCACACTTGTGAAATGTTATGAATTATCCCTCAATTAAGAACAAGGCACAAATATTTACTATCCCTTCTATTCAACATTATACTGGAGGTCCTATCCAAAGCATTAAGGCAAGGGGGAAAAAAAAAAAACGAACAGGCATAAGGACTGAAAAGATACAAAAGCTTTCCCTCTTGCAAATAATATGATCATGTGTGTAGAATAAATTTACAGATTATTAGAATATGTAAGACAGTTTAATATGAAAATCAATATACGAAAGTTTATCATATTCCTATATACAATTAGAAAACAAAAATTAAAAACATTTTTTACAATACTATAAAACTGTAAGTATCCAGGAATAAATTTCAGAATGATGTCCAAGATCTTTCAGAAAAAAAAATTACAAAACTTTATTGTGAGGCAATAAAAAGACCTAAATAAATGGATCAGAAGACTTCATTTTGTAATGGTATTAATTCTCCATATATTGGTTTATAATTTCAATACAATACAATACAAAAAAAAAAAAAGTCCTGCAGGTTTGTTTTTTTTCTTAATACAGAATTTCATGGTATGATTCTAGGAAATGTAAAAGGCCAAGGCTGGCTGAGACACTCTTCTAGAAGAACAGAGTGGACAGACTTGCTCTACCAGATATTAAGACATGTTACAAACCTATGGTAACTGAGAAAACATGTAGCTCATACAGGAATATACTAACAGACCAATGGTATAAAATACAAGAGCCAAGAAACATATCATACACATATGGGCACTTGATATATGACTGGTGACACAGCAGATCAGTACAGAAAGGATAGGCTTTTCAATAAATGCTGCTAGAGCAACTGGCTATCTGTACAGGGTAAAAAATGAAACTAAGCCCCTACCTCCACTACCCAAAAATCAATACTAAGTGGAACGAGACACAAAAAGCACTAATAATAAAGAAAGTTACTGATAAATTCTACTACATTAAAATGAAGAACTTCTCTGTTCAAGGTACAATTTTTTAAAAAAGAAAAAGGAAAAACAGGGTAGAAGATATTTGTAACCCATATCAACCACAGTCAAAAATATAAATATAAAAACTCCTGTAAATTAGTGAGAAAAAGACAACCCAAATGAAACGAACAAAAGACCTGAATGAGTACTTCACAAAAGAAGAAATACAAAAGATACTCAAAGTCATCAGCGACCAGAGGAATGCAAATTTAAACCACAAGAAGATACCACTACATATCCATATGACTGACAAAAACTAAAAATTCTGTAATAACAAGTGTTGGTGAAAATACTGAGCAAAAGGAACTCTCTTACACTTTTCATGGCAATGCAAATTGGTACAACCACTTTGGAAAATAGCTGACAACATCTAATATTATTGAAGATGTGCACAGTGTGTGACCCAACAATCACACTCCTAGGTTTATATTCCATTTAAATGTATGTAGATGTGCAGCAGGAGACATGAACAATAATGTTTATAGCAACACTGTTTATAATAACTAGAAGTTCCAGAATCTGGAAATCAAATGTTCACCCTTGACAGAATAGGTAACTTGTGGCATATTTATAAAATGGAATTCTATACAACAATGAATATGGACAAACCAAGCCACTCACGGGAAGAATCTCAGAAACACAATGTTGAAAAAATAAAGCAAAACCCAAAAGAATGCATGATAATAATACAATATCAATCGTGTCAAGTTCAAATAAGTTTAGAAATACATAAATGTGTGGTAAAAGTATAAAGATAAGCAAGGATATTATCACCACAAAAGTCAGGATAATGGTGACCTATGGAGAAGGGAGATGGTTATAACTAGAAAATTATAAAAAGGGCATGGGGCTTCAATATTGCTCCTAATATTCTATTTCTTAATCGGGGTGGAGGTTACATTAGTATTTGCTTTATAGTTATTTGTTAGACTGTGCGTTATGTTTTTATACACTTTGAGTGTGTATTTTACAATAAAAAAGGGAAAATCTTAATATAGGGGATTTTCATTATCAAAATATTTGTTATCCCAGTGCCAGCAACTGCAAGGTTGCTTCAGGAAACAAAAGATGTCACGATGACAACAATAACTAATGAACTGATCACTCAAACTTTCCTGCCTGGTTAACTCCAGCTGTCTCTCACCGATTGTAAATATCCACAATATAAATAAAAAGCATATCATCTGCAAATTCAATAAATATTTATTAATATTTGTAAGATTTCCATACACTGTTCTAGGGGACCAGCAAGGTTCAAGATAAAGGCCCTGCCCTCCTGAAAAAGATAGAGGACAAGGGAACACCCACTCCCATCCCAATTTTGCCTCCACCTTCTCACCCTCCTTTCCAAACAACTACCAAACATGAAGAACCTAAAAGGAACTCAGGGGCACACATGAAATTATCATCAAAACCACAACCTTAGGGAGTCTTTTCACTATAGAGGAACCATCTGCTTGGATCCATCTGGTGAAACCATGGTTTACCAATTCCTTGTCAAGAGCCTTAACCAGTCTCAACAATGAAGATGTTGTGGGAATAGGCTTAAGTGGAGTCAAAATCCCAAGGAATGCTTTACCTGGGATACAGAGACCAGAAGCTTATAATTTTCCAGAAATTGTAAACTAGATTTTGTACATTTATTTTTCTAGGGTCAGAGTCCAGAACTTTCATCTTACTCTCAAAGGACGTCAATCAAAAAGAGTCAATAATCACTGCTCCCAACAAGATGAACAGACCAGCTTTTTAGGGACATGGTGAAAGTTAATGTGGCCACAGGGAGGCCCCCTGGGTTGAAACCCAGGTGTCCTGACCTCCTGGCCTATGCTCTGAATGACCAATACTTACTCTTAGTTCTTCGAAGGCTTCGTCTAGGGTGGAGAGCTGGTGGCCCTGATGTGCCCCAATGACTGGGCACAGGACACAGATGAGCTGCTTATCTTCCTGGCAATAGGTACTCAAATCGAGCCCATGGTCCGGACACTTCCTCTTGGCCACTCTCTCCGCTTCCATTTCTATTTCTGGGTCAAATTCGCTTTCTGCCTCAGTTTCTCCCTCCGCTTCCGATTCTCCTTCCTCCTGGTTGTCTTCCTCTGCTTCGCTCTCTTGCTCATCCTCCATTTCTTCCTCACTGTCTTCCTCACTGTCTTCCTCACTCTCGTCTTCGCTCTCCTCCTCCGTCTGACTCTCTTCTTCGGACTCACAGTCTTCCTCGGACTCGGTCTCTTCCCCCGCCTCGCTTTCTAGGGCCTTCTCGTTCTCTACCTGGGCCTCGACTTCTTCCTCTCCCGCCCCATCCCCCCGGGCTCCCGGGGTCCAGGCCTGGGCGGCTCCGTGGACGTACTCGGCCAGGTGGTGCCTGGGGAACTTCTGCCCGTGCGCCTCCGCGTGGCGGCGGCAGTAGCAGAAGCCGCATTCCTGGCACACTTCCTCGGCTCCCGGAGCCTCGTCTGGCTCGCACTCATCACACGTGCCGTCGGGCGGCAGCTCCTCGAAGGCCGCGCCCCCTCCGGAGGCCATGTGGGAGCTGTGCCGCGGCCCGGGTCTCCGGGCTTCAGAGCTCGCTGCCTGGCCTCGGCGCGGCCTCCTCGCGTCCTCCTCTCCACCTGGGGCCCGTCCCGCAGACTGCCCGCGCCGTGTCCCGCAGCCTCGGCGCCGCTGACGCCTGTTCCCAGCAGCCCGCACCCAGCCCAGGAGCACAGGGCCTCGCCGCCGGCTCGGCAGCCTGGCGGCCGCTGTGCTTCCTCCGGCGTTCTGGGCACTTCCGGCGCAGCCGCCCAGCGCCCCCGTCGGCCCCTGCGCCGCGCCGCCCGCTCGGCCCCCCGCTGCCCCGGCGAGATCGCGGTGCCGCCGGCCCCCGCGCCGCCCCGGTTCCACTTTCCCTGTCCCCGTCAGGCGGCCCGCTTTCACTTCCTGAGTCATTTAAAGTGGCAATGGCCCTTTTCTGCGTTTCCCGCAGGGGTTCAGCATCCCCGAAGGAGGGAGAGGATGGATGAGGTCTCTGATTCACTCCAGCTTACTCTGGAGGCGGGAATTGGGCCCCTCCTCCTCCACTTCCTCCCTGGAGGTGCCAACCTGACTTTTCAAGGCCACTAGGCAGGTGTACAGGTGCATTTCAACCTCCCTCCTTCCAATTTGTTGCTGCCCGTCCCAGTCCCCTCTGCTGCCTGTTCTGCAAGATGCCAGGACGGAGTGTTGTTTACCAGACTGAACCTGACCCCTTGGGATTTTCAGGGGGAAGGGTTGTGTTTGCTCTCCCAGGCTCAGGGAATCAGAGTCAGGTTGAGCAAACAGACGTTTTCTATCTAAAGCGATTCTATGCTTTGCCTATTTGCAAAGTCTATTTGCATTCCTGCTCTCCTAGGGGCTCAGAACCTCCAGGATCGTAACCTCTGCGCCTTTTTTTGAGAGCTTGCCTTGGGTTTGGCTGAGATGTCAGGGGAGGTAGGTAGGGAGAGACAGTATTAGTGGAGTGAGAGTTCCAGTGTGCAGACCTTATCCTTTATGTAAGGAGGCCATCTAGATTCAGATCGGATTCCAAGAGAAAGGAAAGGGACTGTTATTTATTAACCAATACTGAAGTGCCAAGAATCGGGCTAGATCTTTTTGTGGCTCCCAAGTTTGGAAGAGCCACTGCCCAAGGACCCTCAAATCCTGGTACTACAACTTATTGGCTTTGCAACCATGAAGAAGCTAACTGATCGTTCTGTTTTCTACTTTATATATATAAAGTACATATATATGTAAAGTGGAAATAATGGTAATACGTACCTCATGGGGCCATTTTGTGAATGAAATGTAAAGGTGCCTGCCTTGTAGATATTCACTACATTTTAACTATTATTGGCATGAATTATATTTAGTGCACATAATGACCCTTTGAAGGAGGTTTTAAACATTTTTGACACGTTTTGGCTGGCTGCTGGTATAAGCAACTCCTCACCTCTACCCCATATATATGTCTCACCGCTCATTGAAGAGCTTTCGATTTGTACTTGGGAGAGGAAATGAACATTTTGATCTAGTCCAGAGAGAGGTGGAGATGTGGTTGAGAAGAAGGAAAGGGGATGGAATGGTGTGTTTTTCACTGAGTCCCTTAGATACTTTTGATCTAGGATTTCCAGATGATCTTCACAAAAATGCCAGGGGATGGAGTGGGGTAAAAATCATTTAAAATAATTTTTAATATAGCCACATATAATGTATGCTTAATTTCTGTGCAGATTTTGTCAGAGATTTTATTTTGAAAAAAATATTTTGTTTTATTAACCTCAGGACAGCTCTATAGAACGTGGGGGGAAAGGTCCAAAGGTTTGTTTTGTTCTAGTTCCCTCCACATTTCTATTTTTCTCCAATTCATTTCTCCAGAAATTGTCTTTTTGTTGTCATTATTGTTGTTATTGTTTGTTCTTAATTTTACCTAACAGAAAGTTAAAATATCATACTATGCAGTTCAGTATCTAACACTTTACAAACCTTCTTTGAGTCCTCTGTGGTGAGAGGGTCTTAAGAGACAGAAGTTGATGGAACTATTAAAAAAGGGACTTCATAGGGCTTCCCTGGTGGCGCAGTGGTTGAGAGTCTGCCTGCCAATGCAGGGGACACGGGTTCGTGCCCCGGTCTGGGAGGATCCCACATGCCGTGGAGCGGCTGGGCCCGTGAGCCATGGCCACCGAGCCTGCACATCCGGAGCCTGTGCTCCGCAACGGGAGAGGCCACAACAGTGAGAGGCCCACATAATGCAAAAAAAAAAAAAAAAAAAAAGGGACTTCATAAAATTCTGGGGTTGGAGTATGGCAGACTCATGAGATGGACCTTCTGTGCCCGTCCGTACAAAAATCAGAATGGTCTGATTCCACAGGAATTGGAAACTTTGGGAGTATCCAGAGATAGAAACCTTGTTATATTAATCCATTATTGCATAGAAAAATACCTCAAAATGTAGCAGCTTAAAACAATGAACTTTTATTATCTCACACATTCCTGAGCCAAGAATGTGGGAGTGTCTTAGCTGGGTGGCCCAGCTCAGGGTCACTCAAGAGATTTCAGTGAAGCTGTTGGCTGGGGCTGTAGTCATTTGAAGACTTGACTAGAAATGTAAGATTTGCTTCTAAGATGGATCCTTCTCATGGCTGTTCCAAAGAGGTCTCACCATTTTCTTTTTTTTTTTTTTTTTTTTTGGGTTTTTGGGCCTCTCCCTTTTTTGGCCTCTCCCGCTGTGGAGCACAGGCTCCAGACGTGCAGGCTCAGCGGCCATGGCTCACGGGCCCAGCCGCTCTCCGGCATGTGGGATCCCCCGGACCGGGGCACGAACCCATGTCCCCTGCATTGGCAGGCGGACTCTCAACCACTGCGCCACCAGGGAAGCCCCTCACCATTTTCTACTGGGCTGCTTGAATATCCTCATGACATGGCAGTTGGATTTTCCCATAGCAAGTGATCCAAGAGAGGGCAAGGTGGAAGATGCAATGTCTTATATGACCTAAGCTCAGAAGTCACACAACATCATTTCCAACATAGCCTATTAGTTACAGAGATGAGCCCTGTTTTGTATGGGAGGGGACTGTTTGTGTAGGACATGAATACCAAGAGGTGGGGATCTTTAGGGCCATCTTTGAGGCTGGACACCATATTCTGCCCTTTGGCCCCCAATGATTCATATCTCTCTCAAATGCAACATACATTCACTTCCTCCCAAGATGCCCAAAACTCTCAACTCATTACATCATCGGCTCAAAGCCCAGAATCTTATCATCTAAATCAGGTCCAGGTGTGGATGAGGCGCCTAGGTGTAGTGTCTTATATGCAGCTCCTCAAGTATAGTTCAACACTCATTCTTTTCATCTGAATGCCTCCCAACATACAACAGTGGGACAAGCTTAGGATAACTGGTACAGACACTCCTGTTCAAAAAGAAGAAAAGACAGGAGGCATACAAGAGTCACCGGCCCATAGCAATCCTAAAATCCAGCTGGACACATGTTAGAAGTTCCCTGATTAGGGCTCAATCCTACTTCTTTCTGGAAATGACTCTCCATGGCTTTTGACTTTACCCCCATTGGGCTCTTGATTCCACCCTCTGAGTCATCCTTCCTTTTCTATGAAAAGATACCCATGTTTGCAGCTATGTAATTTGTCAGTCTGCTTCCTGTTAGTAGAATTTAGGGGTCCAAAGTCTCCTTTTCATTTACTGTCTCTGTCCCATTTAGTCCATGCTGGCAGCGTTTTGGCCAATATCATTCATTTAAAAATTTTGTGAGTCTCCTGTGAATCTAATTGGGGCACCACTCCATTGGACAAAAGCCATACCCACAAATCTCTTCAAGATAAGCTCTTCGCTACTCTGGAGAGTCATTCTGCTGAAACTGCTGAGGCACAACACTCATAAGCTTCTTTAAAGCCCTACTGTTTGTCTGAATGAGTCTCTGAATCACTGCTGTGGCTCTTTCTGAGATCTGAACAAAGGGTTTTACAGCCACACTCTCACCTTCAGCATCTGATGATGTTTTCCTTGCAGCGCCCTAGAGTTTATTTTTAACTGGAAGCCATTTCTTCATTTTAGCATTATTTGCCATCTAAAGAAGATGGGAATTTTCAAGTCTAGCAAGCTCTGGATCCTTTTGAAAAATTACTTCTGTATATTATCTCTTTCTTCTCACATTTTGCTATCATCAGGAAGAAGACGTCAGTCAGCACCTTCAGCACTCTACCTGGAAATGTACTTAGCTAGAATACCCAATTAATTAGGCAAATTTTCTGCTTTCCACATTACTGTAGGTGACAGTGTTGCTAAATTCCCGCCACTACATCACAAGGACCCTTTTTCTCCAGTTTCCAATAACTTTTTCCTCACTTCCCCTTAAGCCTTTATCTACAGCTTTCTCAAAAGCAATCAGGATTCTAATAGTTTCTTCAAGATTCTTCAGGTTTTTACTAACACTCTCCTCCAAGTCCTTCCAGCTTCTCCCACTGTCCAATTCCAAACCAGTCCAACATTTTAGGTTAGGTTTTTGTTATGGAAGCACCTCACTCTTTATAATAAAATATATATTAATTGCCTATTAATGCATAATGCATTACTCCAAAACTTTAAGTCATCTTGGGGGCTACCACACTTGGCATTGGCATTGTCTTCTTGTTGTGGTTAGCAACAACTGTAAGGCGTCTCTAAGATACTCAGCAGGCAGTGCTTGTGGAGAACAAGGCAGTTTGCATTTGAGACTGTTTTGTGAGTACATGTGGGACTTTGAGAAATAAATGGTGTATTCCTAAAGTAAATAAGTATCTCCTAATTATGTGGGCAATAGCTGTTAACTTATTAGACATTTGAACTCTATACACATGAGGAAGCTGAAGTTCAGAGAGGTGAAGAAACTTGTTAAATGTTACCCAGCTAAAGGTAGCTAAATTTGGATTCAAACTCAGATTTACCTGACTTCATCTTACCATATTACCGTACCAACCTTACCTATCTTTTTTTTAAAATTTTTTATTTATTTATTTTATTTTATTTTATTTTAGGCTGTGTTTGGTCTTCGTTTCTGTGCGAGGGCTTTCTCTAGTTGTGGCGAGCGGGGGCCACTCTTCATCACGGTGCGCGGGCCTCTCACTGTCGCAGCCTTTCTTGTTGTGGAGCACAGGCTCCAGACGCGCAGGCTCAGTAGTTGTGGCTCACGGGCCTAGTTGCTCCGCGGCATGTGGGATCCTCCGAGACTAGGGCTCGAACCCGTATCCCCTGCATTGTCAGGCAGATTCTCAACCACTGCGCCATCAGGGAAGCCCAACAACCTTACCTATCTTTACCTTTCAGCTCTGAAATCAATTTCTATCTCTTTCAGCTGTTCCAAAGAGACTACCC